GTGGAATCTGAGAGCATTCAGAAGAATGGGTAACTCTAGACTAGACTTGTCCTCCAGAATCATCAGCTCAAGGAAGAAAAACCATTCCCTGTATGAATGTGGGGAGTGTTGGCATAGCCTAGCCACACCACGAAATCACAGGCGAGAAAAATAATCTTCCGTTTACAATGAATAGAAACTTCATGACCAGTTGATTCTGGAGGGGTATTTGCAAATGTGAATGAGGTAAAATATATTTGACCTGTCTACTGCCCTGGGTAGGATTACTTCCACATATAGATCATTTTTTATAGTTTTATTATTTCTAATTCATCAACCAGTATCTTTCCTTCCCTCTTTGAAGGGCAATTTTCATACTATCCTTTTTCCTTTTCCTCTTTTATCTCAAACCCTCTTTGATCTTTGTGGTTGTTCTGTTCTTGCTACTGATGATCCTCCCTTAAGGAGGACCAAAGGCCTACTGGAGGCAAGATGGTATCCAGCATTCCTGGCAAACCCTATGAGGCATTACGGACATCTAGTGGCTGCTCAGGATAATGTCTCAAGGATGTAATGCATATCAGGGTGGGGAGTGGTCTGGCCAGGGCAGTTCCAGGGCTTCTTTGCTCAAGTAGTCACATAAATGACCATTTCTTTCACTTTCTATTAGAGGTTCAAAGTCACTCTGAATGGCAGACCAGTTCTACTGAAGACCAATCTTTATCCCAATCCAGCAAAATATAATAGCACCTATGTAATAGACCACAGAAGCTAGACATTTGGAAATATCTTCAAGCTGCAGGTTTAAACACGGATTACCTACACATCAACATCTTGACAGAAGGACTGAGCTCAAAAGACAGACTCTGATATTAGTTATGTGGCTTTAGGTAAGTCATTGTGCCTCTCTGAGCTTCCTAACAACATCTGTAAAATGAGAGGCTAAACCCAGATAATCTCCAAGGTCTCTTTTAATGTTAACATTTTGTGATCTATGAGCCTTTTTAGCAGCTGGGAAAACAGTCTGATCTGCTCTGCTCTGGCCCTGTGGATCTCTAGATTAAACTGAAGGAAGCATTCTCTTCTCAGCTTCATGGCCCATTTCCAAGACTTGGCTACAATCCCAAAGATCAACTTTCTTCACAGAGCTACGTGAGTAAGAAGGGGCGGGAATCATGGACTATGAGAATTACAAGGAGCTTTCTAGTCCATTTCTTTGATATTATGAACGAAGCAACCAAGGTTACAACTATTTTAGGATTCATCACATGTCGAATCAGTGGCAGAAAAATGACTAGAACTCAGGTATCCCAATCATTCCGCAGGCCCATTCTCCTCCCCTTCGCTCTTCAGCTTTCTCACACAGGTCTCTCATGCAAAACCGCATGTGAAAACATTCTCACCACAGCAGTTTTCTTCCTTCTGTTCCTCTTCAGCTTTGAGCTTCCTTACTTTCTTCTTATTCCTTGGTGGCACCACTCCAAATCAAGGAAGCAGTCAGAGCCAAGGGGTGTGGGGGCAACACAACACAGCTAGAGAGTACTTGGCTTACCAAGATTAGAGGCTGCAGGGCCACTTTCAGGTCAGAAGGGCTGTGTGCTGTGAAGGCTCCACAGCCTCATCTTTAGTCTGGTTTGTGGGTCTGAGGTGCGTTCACAGCCCAGCTGACCTATAGAGGGCAAAGCAGCCCCTTGTAGAGCTCCAGAGAGCTTGGGAATACTCTCCTTATCAATTAATAGCAGTTCCAAATATTTACTGTGAGACAAGCTCATTACTTACTAAGCACTGGTCTGATCCAAGTCAGCCCACACTTCCATCTACCTTCACAGTGCGGGGGCAGGAGCTTCCACTTGCTGGGCCCAGAGCTGAACAGATGGGGCCCGAGTTTGCCTACACAGGCAGGAAACCAGCTTAGGCAGAGACCCTCTTCTGCCTGAAGATGGAGGAGCGTCATATCCACTGTGCCATCCAGACCCAGGCCCAGGTCTCCTCCGATACTAGAGCTCTCTACTAGCTCAGTGTCATCTATGGCATTGAGAGAACCCTCCTCCACAGATCCTGTCAGGCTAGGTTCATATTTCCTGGGTCCACAAGATAGTAGTGTCCTGCTTGACCCTCTGGATATGCAAACGGGGTTTTAGTCAAGATACAAAGAGCCACTAAGAAGACAGAACTCAACCCAAGTGTGAGTATGACTTACTCCATTTCTCTTATTTTTCAGATTGGATTGGTCACGAATAAAATAAATTTAAAGGATTTATTTTCGCAGCCCTTCCTTTCCTTCTTTTACTTCATCTTATTTTTCTATCATATATAACCTTCATTGAACTTTCAGTCTTCCCCTGAGCTTACCTCCACCATTTAGTCTACGCAGAGTAGATTTAGTAAATTTTTGTTGCTAGTGATGAAAACACTGATCTCAGGGTTTAAGACTGGCTTGAAAAGCTCTTTACTTTCTAGATATAGGACTGTAAATTACTTGCCTGAGGTAAATGCCTGCATTTATAAAATGGATACAACAGTGGCAATTACTAAACTGGGGTATAAATGAAGATTAAAACTAGAACAGATATATAGTTGTTTTGATACGGTTTTGCTACAGAGCCCAGGCTAGCCTCAAGGCACTCTTGCCTTAATCTCTTGAATGCTGAGATTACAGGCATGATAGTACACCATAGATAAACATAATAATAAATTACTGTTGAAATGGATGATGAAACCTGAGTTCTTATCCCACTGGGAAAATACTTTGGAAAATCCCTTCCACACCCAAGTTCCTTGATATCTATCTTCCAGGGTTAAAATCTTGCCCCACCACTTAATATTGTGACCACAGGTGACATTTTGACCCATTCATAAAATGGTTAATAGAATTAATGGGAAGATGAACAGTGGTACACAAGGGAATAAGGGTTCAACAAATATTAACTATTGACACTTTTTTTTTTGGTACCGGGGATCGTACTCGGGACCTTGCACTTTTGAGGCAGGCGCGGAACCACTGAGCTAAATACCCGGCCCTTATTAACATTCTTATTTGGACAAAATGCAAACAGGTCTTGGTAAAGACTGGGGACATCAACTTGCCTACAACGGAACTTTCTAGGACTTCAAGAACATAGTGGCAAATCTAAGGAGGTTCAGGTTACTGGGCAACAGACAATACGGAGGTTATGAATGTGGTAGAATCCACAAAGCTGAGAAATCCTGGATCTCTTATTAAGCAACAACCCACGTGCAGGCGGAGAAGGTTTAACAAGCAAGCTTGCCAGGTACTCAGGGGGGAGGGCTGGGGAATGAAGAATCTGGAGGCAGCACTGGAAAGGACAGCAGACTAAAATGATGGCATATCCTACTGGACCTGCGTCTCAGGGTTTGGCCACAGATCACCTAACCCACCCTCAGCAGATAGAGGGTCTTTCCTGGGGAGTGGAAAAAGGCTGATCTAGTCTCCTCCGACACTAGTATGTCAGAAGCTCTCCTCTGCCACAAAAATGGGCCAGAATTCCCTTGCCAGCACACTGCTACTGCAGGTTGCTACGCAGTTCTTCACCGAGTCCCGAGAAGAGAGGGGCTGGTGAAGCTCACAGAGGTGAGAAAGGGACGACACAGAGCCAAAGCTGCAGCATCATGAATGAACCGTGGGTTGCGCCGTGGGCTCTGGGAGTTCACCTCAATCTTTTCCAGGTTGTCATTCCCCGCTCCTTGCACTTGGTCTCTCCTTCCACTGTTTCCCGCCCCCGCAGCCCTCATTAAGAAAACTAATTTAAAGCTCTAGTTAGAGCCCAGGAGGGGTGAGGGAGCGTGAGAGGGAGGGAGCATGAAGGCTAGGCATTCGATCTTCTGGCTCCAAGCAGTTCCGGCCACCCCCAACCCAGGTCCCCACCATCACGCAACTCAAAACTCCCAGTACGAGGCTGCCCGACCCGCACAGCGAAGCGCCCCGTCAGCATTCGGCGGGGGTGAGAATGACGCGGGCTGGGCGGGAGGCCGGCCAAATGCAGCAGCCCCATCGCGCATCACAGTGCCCCGGGTTCGCCAGCCCCTGACCCAGCAGCCTGGGGCCGGAGGGTGCCAGCAAGCGGTGCGGGCCGGGGCGGGGGCTGTGCGGGCTCCCGCCGCAGCCCGGCGCAGCTCCAGCCTATCAGCTGCCACCCAGCGGCTCGCTCCGACCCGACCAAAATAGCAGCGAACGCCTGCGACTTGCGCGCGCGGCCCCTCACTTGACGCTCACTCTGCTTGCTCGCCGCTCGCCTGCCGGGCTCGCTCTCCTCGTCCGGAGGGGGCGGGGAGGAATCGGCCCGGGAGCGGGGTGGGGGTGGGAGAGCAGAGGAGGAAGGAAGGAAGGGAGGAAGGAAGGAAGAAGGGAGGAAGCAGGCGGCCGGCCAGCAGACGGACCAAGGAGGCGAGGCGCGGACCCAGGGCTGCGCGGCGCGGCGCTGGAAGGCGCCCCCGTTAACCCCTCGAGGGCAGGCGGCAGAGGGGGAGCTGTGTTAATACATAAGAGCACCGCATCACGCTAATCTTCTCCCCAGAACAGTATGCGTCAGCAGTACATTCACGTTCTGACTGAAGGACAAAAGGATGAGAGAGCAGTCTGCGTGGCTGCTGCCTGCAACACTGCGAGCCCGGCGCGAGGAGGAGACGGTGGGCGCCGAGCTCAGGGGCCCCGCAGCTGCCTCCGCCGCCGCCGCTAGCCAGCGAGGACCATGTTCCCGGGCTCCGGAGCATCTCCCGCAGGCGCGACCCCCGCTGCTCACGCCGCCAGCGCTCGGGCCGCTGCACCAGTCCGCGGGCAGCGCAGCCTCTGAGGGCGCCGGGAGGCCCCGCGGCGAACTCGCCCTCTCCGCACAAAGCCGGGGCCGTGGACGCGCAGGGGGCCCGGCAGCGGCGGGTGGCGGCTGGCGGTTGCGCGCCGCCAGGGGCTGCGGCCGTAGCCGGACCCGCGCCCGCCCCCGGACTCCCTGAAGGGGCCCGCGGTGCGGCCGCCGCGCTCTCTTGGTCCCGCGGACTCCGTCCCGGAGCAGCGTCCACGCCGCTGCCCCTCAGGGGCTACACGGATTACCACTCCTCGCGCTAGCAGACGGCGGACCGGAGAACTGAGCCCAGTTTTTGTCTTTTTAACCCTTCTAAGAGCAGAGGAGAAAGGGGGTGTGTGTCTGGGGAGGGCGAAGGTGCCGCGAACACCTCCTCTTAACTCTCGCAGCCCCGAGAGAGCTCTCGACTGCAATCAGCTGCCGCCAGCCCCGAGTGGCCGACGCCGGGAGAGCGGAGCCAAACGCGGCCTGGGCGGCTTCGGGGCGCCCCCGCACCTCCGCCGGCAGCGGCCAAGGAGCGGGCTGGGGGCGCCGGAGGCATACTTTGGCGATGAAGCGCCTTCCCCTGCAGACGGAGCAAGCAGGTGCCAGGGTCCAAGGACAAAGCAGAGAAGCGCTGGTGGCGCCGCTCCTCGGGCCGAGGGGGGGGCATGCACCTGCATAGCCCACCGGGCCTTGGCTCTCCCCGGCACGCCTCAACTCCGCGGCTTCACAGGCTCTGGATTTACTAGAAGCCATTTTGTCTCCCCCACCCCTCCCTTCCCCTCCCCTCTGCCCTCCCCACCCCACTCCCCCCTTTTGTTAATTAAAAACTAAGAAGTCAGAATGGGAATGAGGTATCCAGCTCCCATGGAGAAATCTTGAGGACACCACGCCAGTTCTTTCCTGCCTTCCTTCCGAGGTAGGTGACAGCGATTTGGGTGGGGATGGTTGCAATGTGGGAGAGAAAGTCTTAGCTTTCGGAGGGCTGGCCTTCAGGGTGGGTTGGTGGATGAGGGGCCGCTCTGTAGTTTGGCAGGATTTTTCTTGGCCGATCTGCTGTCTCTCTAATCGCCCCCTTCCCACCTCCTTCTCCAGATGGAAAGAGGAGCTCCTAGCTCACTTAAGCCGGGGTAGGGCTGGTTCTCCTTTCCAAGCCAAAATCCCAGGCGATGGTGAATTATGAACGTGCCACACCATGAAGCTCTTGTGGCAGGTAACTGTGCACCACACCTGGAATGCCATCCTGCTCCCCGTCGTCTACCTCACGGCGCAAGTGTGGATTCTGTGTGCAGCCATCGCTGCTGCTGCCTCAGCCGGGCCCCAGAACTGCCCTTCTGTCTGTTCCTGTAGTAACCAGTTCAGCAAGGTGGTGTGCACCCGCCGGGGCCTCTCCGAGGTCCCGCCGGGTATTCCCTCCAATACCCGGTACCTCAACCTCATGGAAAACAACATCCAGATGATCCAGGCCGACACCTTCCGACACCTCCACCACCTGGAGGTCCTGCAACTGGGCAGGAACTCCATCAGGCAGATTGAGGTGGGGGCCTTCAATGGCCTGGCCAGCCTCAACACCCTGGAGCTGTTTGACAACTGGCTGACTGTCATCCCCAGCGGGGCCTTTGAGTACCTGTCCAAGCTTCGGGAGCTCTGGCTTCGAAACAACCCCATAGAAAGCATTCCCTCTTATGCCTTCAACCGAGTACCCTCCCTCATGAGACTGGACTTGGGGGAGCTCAAGAAGCTGGAGTATATCTCTGAGGGGGCTTTCGAGGGACTGTTCAACCTCAAGTACCTGAACTTGGGCATGTGCAACATTAAAGATATGCCCAATCTCACCCCCTTGGTGGGGCTGGAGGAGCTGGAGATATCAGGGAATCATTTTCCTGAGATCAGGCCTGGCTCCTTCCATGGCCTAAGCTCTCTCAAGAAGCTATGGGTCATGAATTCACAGGTCAGCTTGATTGAGCGGAATGCTTTTGATGGGCTGGCCTCACTTGTGGAACTAAACCTGGCCCACAATAACCTCTCTTCTTTGCCCCACGACCTCTTTACCCCGCTGAGGTACCTGGTGGAGTTGCACCTACACCACAATCCTTGGAACTGTGATTGTGACATTCTGTGGCTCGCTTGGTGGCTCCGGGAGTATATACCCACCAATTCCACCTGCTGTGGCCGCTGTCATGCTCCCATGCACATGCGAGGCCGCTACCTGGTAGAGGTAGACCAGACCGCCTTCCAGTGCTCTGCCCCCTTCATCATGGATGCACCTCGGGACCTCAATATCTCTGAGGGTCGGATAGCGGAACTTAAATGTCGGACTCCCCCCATGTCTTCTGTAAAGTGGTTACTACCCAATGGGACAGTGCTCAGCCACGCCTCCCGCCACCCACGGATCTCTGTCCTCAATGATGGCACCTTGAACTTTTCCCATGTGCTACTCTCAGACACTGGGGTGTACACATGCATGGTGACCAATGTGGCAGGCAACTCTAATGCCTCGGCCTACCTCAATGTGAGCACAGCCGAGCTCAACACCTCTAACTACAGCTTCTTCACCACGGTAACAGTGGAGACCACGGAGAGCTCACCTGAAGACACAACACGGAAGTACAAGCCTGTTCCTACCACATCTACTGGTTACCAGCCGGCATACACCACCTCTACCACGGTGCTCATTCAGACCACTCGTGTGCCCAAGCAGGTGGCAGTACCCGCGACAGACACCACTGACAAGATGCAGACGAGCCTGGATGAAGTCATGAAGACCACCAAGATCATCATTGGCTGCTTTGTGGCAGTGACTCTGCTAGCTGCCGCCATGTTGATTGTCTTCTATAAACTTCGTAAGCGGCACCAGCAGCGGAGTACAGTCACAGCCGCCCGGACAGTTGAAATTATCCAGGTGGATGAAGACATCCCAGCAGCGGCATCCACAGCAGCAACCGCAGCTTCGTCCGGTGTATCAGGTGAGGGGGCAGTAGTGCTGCCCACAATTCATGACCATATTAACTACAACACCTACAAACCAGCACATGGGGCCCACTGGACAGAAAACAGCCTGGGGAATTCTCTGCACCCCACAGTCACCACTATCTCTGAACCTTATATAATTCAGACCCATACCAAGGACAAGGTACAGGAAACTCAAATATGACTCCCCTCCCCCAAAAAACTTATAAGATGCAATAGAATGCACACACACAAAAAAGACAGCAACTTTTGTACAGAGTGGGGAGAGACTTTTTCTTGTATAATGCTTATATATTAAATCTATGGGCTGGTTAAAAAAAGATTATATTAAAATTTAAAAAGAAAAAAATCAAAGCAAAACTATTTTCTAACTTGTAAGTTCTATTTAAGGGGGAGGGCGGGGAATCTTGGGAATGTTGTGGGGTACAAACCACAAGTCAACTTGTTATGCCGCCAGAAGAGATTTCTGGTGTAAGGTGGAAACTGCTAAGATAAAACAACAACAACAACAACAAATACCCCACAGCCCCAGAGGTAGGGTGTGGGCAGCTAAGGAGTAGGGGGGATAAACTGCATCTGTCATTTTTTTTAGAAGATGCTTCGTAGGATACAGGAATACCCATTTCTACAGACATCTTTCTTAAGCCGAGAGCTGTCTTTGCAGATTTATCTTATTTAAAAAAACCCAACAAAACAAACAAATAAAAAAAGCACTATGAATTTGTACTGTGCCAAAATGTTGAGAGGCAATAATTTTTTCTTCAGAGCCCAAGGGGAAGATAGATCTGTAAATGTATTTTAAGCAGGAAAACCACCGAAATTCAAATGAATCCTTAAAGGGACTGAGTCTTTGCCATGTGCACAATTCCTGGATTTGTGCACTGGGACACGAGTATTCCTAGCCTGACAGTGTTTCAGGATGGAGCAGAGAAGGAAGGGAGCTGGCATAGCTCTGAGTCAAAAGCTTTCACATTGCACCAGATTCCTGCAGTCGGGCTGAACCCACTCTGCAAGGCATGTGTCTATTCAGGGTTTCCCGGGAGGAGGAGGCCCCTGAAGGGGGTGCGGCATCAGGGGAGGGTGGGAAGGAGAAGCAGCAGAGAGAATGATTCACTGAAGGCCATAAACTAGTATTGTGCCATGTCCACCTGTTGTTCCAGGTATCTGACAAATGATTGTAGACAATGATGGCATTTTATGATTTTTCAAAAAGGTCTTGTTTGTTTTAAGGTGGAGAGGGAGGAGAGGCTGGGAGTGGGGAGCTTGGGGGAGTGGAAGCTTTTCTCATGCCTGGGATTTGGTGACTATTCTAAATGCTGATTCATTAGGGATTATTACAGTTGATGCCAACTGGTTGTGGAGATACAGTGGGGGCAGAACATGAGTAGAGAAGAAAGAAGGAGAGACAAAAAGGGCACAGGCTGACTTAAGGAAGCCTTTTTCCAACCAGGATGCTTCACAAAAACGATGTGAAATGCACAGTGAAAAGTGACACGCATGCATATATGAGTGAGTTCTGCATGGAGTCCTGTTGAACGGGCACCATGGGGGGAAGCTTCCCTCCCCCAAGCCCACCTCTGAGGAGGTGTAGGAGAAAGGGTGGGGGCTGGGGGAAGGCAGAGATCTGTTATTCTGGTCCATTTACTGATGTAACGTCTTTCAGTTATTCTTCTAGCTTTAAGAGGAAATAAAGGGTTCAGATTGGAAAGGGGGTGGTATGGGTGGGGGGAATGCCAACAAAACAACACTGATTGTAATGTGAGAAAAGTGTATTTTTGTATTTTAATAAATATTGTTCAATTTTTAATTCAATGTCCCCAAAGGGTTAAATTGAATAAGATCTTGAAACTATAGATTCTTATGAGCATTCACCAAGTCATTTCTATTTGTAGAAAAAATGGGGGGGGGAGGTACAAAGGGGGAGAGATATGTTAAATTTTTTAAAGTATGGGAAAATGCTAAAGCTGTCAATAACCTTTCCTTAGCTTAAATAAACGCACCCCAATTCTAGTGCATCTTCCACAAACTAAGTGTGTTAGTCCCTGGCTTTGTTGAGGGTATAACCAAATTCCCCATGCCCCGGAAAACCAGGGGAAATGGGTCAGCCTCAGCCCCTGGGACCTGGCCAGAAGTTAAATGCCACCTCAGCAAAAGCTGCTGGTCAGGCAGCACCAGCTCTACCCAAGGACCCAATGGGGCCTGGATTTAAGAGAGCTGCAGTAATGTAGTTTGGCTGCGATTTCCCTCAGGCAGTGTTGCTTCTGTTCTCTTGCAGTTAAGTAGTCCAACATGTCTTGGTGGAGGTGGGGTCTGTCTCCTGAGGCTCCCAGAGCAATGACTGCCAGGGAGGCTCCATGAACTGGGACCCTGTGTTTCTTCAGTGCTAGTATTTATGTTAATGCAGGGAATCGGGACTGAGTGGGTGTGCTCTCTCTGGCACTGAGGAGGGAAAGAAGCAAACAGCACTTTGAAGCAGTTGCTAAGACATGGCTAAGAAAGGGCCAATTCTTACTCCTGGGTACACAGATCATTTCTGGGTATCAGTGTTTGTGGCAGCACATAAGCACAGGCACATACTTGTAAACTGCCACTCATGTTCCAAGGCACCGAAGATCTGTTCCCTTAGCCTTTCCTTTACCACTCTACCCTCAATGAGGAGAAAACTGCACCAGACCAAAGGGTAGGACTTGGCTAGGACCAGTTGAGAAAGCAAAAATTGACTTCCCTTTCTAGTGCCACACACACACAACTGTTTAGGACAGTTTCCCAGGTGTACATCCCAGGGCAATTGTAAAGTTTCAGAAACAACAGATGAAGAGCCAATTTCCTAATACCTTTTCGTTTTTAAAAGCTATCTGGGCAGTCAGGAAATTATGCAGTAACTCTGCAATGACAAAAGGTCTGTGGCTAAACAAAGGTTTGAAGGGAGAGGTAGAGAAATGGGACTAAAACAATACTGGGAAGAGTCCTCAGAACAAATGCATTTGTCCTGGGCATGATCATATTCTGGTCTTGGCATTTGAGGGAACAAACTGGCATTTCCAGGGGAACCTTGAGGGATTGGGGGAGATTGAAAATATGGTTCCTAGGCATAAGAATCTTTGGTGCTGCAAGGGTAGTTCCTTTCCTCAATGGTTCTACTCTTTAGTATGGCACTGTTTTAGCATTTGGAGCAGTAACCTTCCTTTGCTACAATGCTGGGTATATTCTCTTCAGTAGCAGAAACTTGGGATGGCTTTTCAGAGAAGAGCCCTATGAGCATGGAAAGTGAAGCCTTTAAGGCTGTGTGAGTGACTTATCCTTGGGCCTGGCCAAGCTGTAAGGCTGGTTACCTGGGAATGGATCGTGGGTTGGTAGCTCTTCATGGGAGTAGTATAGCAACATGTTAGAGGTAAAGACTGTGCAGCTGATTATATGGAATTTTCATTATAGAATTTTTTTAAGGCTGTGGAAAATCATTTAGTCTAATCCCTTTGCATTTTATAGTCAAGGAAACTGAGCCCCAGAGAAAGACATATCCAAGGTCACACTGCTAGTTAGTGGAAGAGGTGAGACTAAACCCCAGGTCTCAACTCCCAAGTCAAATGTGATTTCTCACTCAAGCTTTTATTGGCTATCAAGAACATATTTCTTTCCTTGCCAATAGGCAGTTAAAGTGGGTCTTCCCATAGACACTTCTGTGTTCTCATCTCCTTCTACTAAGAGCTGTTCATTCTCCATCACAACTAGCTCTACTGCCTTGCAAGACCTGATCAAAATTCTGACCACAGGGGCTCCAAATGTGTTCACTAAGGGGTTGGACTCTCAGGATTACAAACAACGGTTTCCTGATGCTTAGGCCCAATGGTAGACAAACTGTAGAATTCCACAGATAGTGACAGCTACAGAAGCAAGGGTGAAGTAGGTAAGATGGTGTAAAGAGAAGATGGCTTGGCTTCCTCCCAACCTTGGGCTGGAAAGCTTTGCAGAGTAGAGGATTAACAGAGGTATTGAAAAACCTACCAGAGAAATGCTCCATAATGGAGTGGTTTCTACTTATTTGGATCAATGATGAGGACGTGGGGGGGGGTGCTCCTTAATTCCTGAGATCCTTTAATACCACACTGTAGTTGCCACTTTTCATAATCTGCTCCAGGGCTTCTTATCACCCTTCAGTATAATGCTGCATCCTATTATCAATGAAGGTAGACAGGCTAGTTTCTAAGGCCTGGAGACATTAGCTTTATTGTGGCTATTTAGCATGTATTGAGGCCAGCAACTTGCTGGGTGCTGGATGGAACAATGCGCACAGAGTCCCTGCAAGACAGTTCTATTGTTGGCAGGGAAGAGGGCCAGAGTCCATGGCCTCTGGCTTCCTTTAGTGGTGCTGACTAGACTGGGAGAGCACTAAGAGGGTCTTACTCACTCCAGGCTTCTACCTCAGAGGGCTGGAGTCCACAGTTAAGGCTCTACCATTTCACTGCAACAAAGCAGCAAGGACTTAAAATTAGAGAAGGAGAGAGAACATTTATATCCAAACATATGTCTGATTTTATCTCTTTTGCTGGCACCCAGCACTCCATGCCATTGGCTAATGCAGGCACTGTTTACACCATTTCTAAATCCTGCCTCAGCTAAACTGCAAGGCAGCTTTTCAACTCTATTGGTCTCCATCCATTCAGAAAGCACCCTTTCCCCTGCAGGAGGAAGAAAGGTTGGGGCAGTAGATTCACACTGTTTTCATTTTTGCTTTAAATTAAAACGAAGCAAATTACTCTTTGGAGCAGGATTAAGGACTTCGGGAACTAGGATTGGTCAACACACAAAGCCGTGTAGCATAGTGCTTAAGAAGACTCTGTGGTCAGTCTCCCTGGGCTGAATCCTAGCTCCATCACTTACTAGCTCTGTGACTTTGGGCAAATACTCTATTTCTTAATTTGTAAAATGGAGATAGCATCTATTTCACTACACACAGGTTGCAAGAACTAAAATTTTATTTCATATCTATATATCCATATCTATCTGACACTTAGCCCAGTGCCTCACATTGTGTAGTTAAGTACTATATAGCTGACAGTTATCTGATGATACATATAAGCGTACAGACCAAAATACCACTCCCCATCACCATCTGTATTTTTGAACCTTGTGCATATTGGAAGAGCATATACCCATGGAGCTATTCAAGAAGGATAATTAGGCACAGTGCCACCTATAAAGCCCAAGCATTGTGGAAAAGATGGTTGTACTCTCTTCCCAGGAAAGCCCTGTCTTGTGCTCTGATCCCTAAACCAGCTCTATAGCTGGCCTAAGGCACTAAGTACAGGAATAGATTACTTTTTCTTGTGGTGAGCCAGAAGAAAGTAAAGA